CTACATGATCGAATTTTGATGTTAAACTCCTCAAAACCTTACAACTATTTCATTACTAACACTTTCACCATATGACTTCATATGATTAACAATCCCAGACACCTTAAATAAAAATACTTGCACATATTCTTTTTCTTTCATGGCCAACGTTTCAAAATCACGACGAAGGGTCTGTAGTTTTACAGTAATTACCTTCTTGTCGCCCAAATTCTTGCTTTAGAATCTCCCATGCTTGAGTGGAGGTGCTAGCTGCTGCAATTCTTGGAAATATTTCTTCATCAAGGGCATGTTGAATGAGGAACAACACCTTTGCATCCTTCTTATGGGTTTCTCGCAACTGTTGATCAAGTTCGGTCGAATTTGTGTCTTCAAATCCCTTCTCCACCAAGTCCCACAGCTCTTGAGACTTGAACATGGTCTTCATTTTGAGGCTCCAGAAGTGATAATTCTCCCCTTTAAAGACTGGAAATAGGGGCAGAGCTGATGAATTTGTTCCGTTCCTTGCCATGGTGAAATTTCTCTCTTCTTTACTCTTTTCCCAAATAAAGACCCAACTCAACTCTGATACCAAAGAAATTGTTGGGGGATTGAAATTTTATGCTAAAAATAAAGCCACAACCAATTCTATTCATATTCAAAAAAGCAACGTCTGGGGTCCAAATAAATGGATTTACAGCAGAACTAACCTTAGCTAAAAATAAGCAACTAAACTAGAAAGTGGATAAACATGGTCCACTAACTCAAAAATAATGCCTAACAATTAGGAAGTAAATCATCCACTATGTACCCATTAAATTTGAAGCACTATTCAACATTCCCACTAAGTTTGAAGCACTATTCCACATTCCCACTACGTTTGAAGCACTATTTAACATGCTTAATGTCACTATGGCGTGAGTAGGAATGAAAAGGCCTCTGCGGCCTTTGATTTGTACTCTTGTCAACCTCTCCGACATTCTCCTGGATGAAATGTATGTTGGTTTCACTACGGTGACGGGATGGTTAGTTGAATACCATAGGATTCTTGCTTGGAGTTTTAGTAATTTGAATGCCTCCATCAGAGATTCCTTGACTACTTTGAATCTGCCATCATTTGTTCCTCCCAAGAACTCTGTTTTTCATTCCAAAGGATTCATTACGGGGATTACAGTGGCGGTTCTCTTTGTTCTTTCCTATTTTGCGGTGATATCTCTACTTTTGGTTAAGAGGAGGAGGAGAAGGTGAGGGAGAGAGCGGAGATGGATGATTGGGAATTGGAGTATTAGCCTCATCGGATGAATTATCAGGAGATTCACATGGCGACAAAGGGGTTCTCAGAAGAAAATGTAATTGGGGTTTGAGGGAATGGAAAGGTCTATAAAGGGGTTTTGACAAGAGGAGCCAAGGTTGATGTGAAGTGCATTGCCCACGAGATTGATGAAGGCATGAGAGAGTTCTTGGATGAAGTACAGGAACTTAGTTGGAGCAACACTTTCAGCAGAAGGTGATCGGAGGAGCAACGTTTTGGCTAATAAAAGCAAGAGTAGACAATGCAGAAGGTGGGCAACCATTTTCAGCGGAAGCAATAGAAGAGAAGAAGCCGCTTTGTCGCAGGCGAGAGAGATCTGAATGAAGTTCTAAACCAATGAGCAAGTGGAGTAGAGAAGGAAAAGAGAGACGATGTTTGGTAGGTTTATTAGAAAATTTAGATTTTATATTATATGACAATGCCCCTTCTTTGTCGCCACTTGTATCGTGAGGTCGGGGAAGATGAATAGTACTTTTCTCTCAATTGTTCGAATATTTATTACAAGGGTAGTATGAAAATTAAAACAACAAATTTCAACGAAAAGCTAACGGAAGGGGGTCTTTATAATTTACCATATATATATTTAATGATGTATGTACTGTTCAATAACATAACATTTGGGGAAAATGTTATATTCAATTGTTTGAATGTTTTGATGAGAGAGTGAGAGGCATTATGACTTATATAGATGTTATATGAATGCACATAACATTTGGGGAAAATCATGTGGTAACATATGTGGGTATCATGTAATATATGTAACATTTTGTTGTATCCAAATGTTACATTGGAAAACAAGTTGTATCCAATAAATAAAATGAAGTAAATATACATTGGAAATGTGTTTTAATTCAAGGGCTTGCATCTCCTACCCACAAGGCATTGCAACCGAGAGCATCTCCCTACAAGAATGGCAGATGTTTCTAATGTCTGGCTGAAATGCCTTTTGAGTTGGTGTGGATAGAGTTCTAGGTTTTGGTAAGATGGTACTTCCACACAAGCGATATAAGAGCTTTTCCTTTATTCCTTTTTTGGTTAAACCACAAGAATCCCAAAGGCATGAACCCTGCATACCCATTCACCTTGCTGAATACATTCCTTACTATCCAGAAGATGGGCCATTCGACGAATTTGAAGGGCAATCATTCCTATCTGGCATTGGCTAGGATTGGTCCAACGTCCAATCCGAGTCAGGTTGAGTCAAAAGAAATAGGGTTGTTTCTGTCTTTTGAGTATGCACTGTTTGACAAATGATTAGCCAATTTACTCTTTCTTAGCTAAAACCTTGAACATATGTCCCATCCCCTTGACTGTTGAATATCTCTCTTATTCATTCAAGGATAGGAAGGAATCAAAGCACAGAGAGAGAGAGAGAAGCTTATTAATGTAATGGCAATTATTTACTGCATCTGTTGGGCTCCACTCCATGATGAGGAAAGAAAATATTCTTATTGAGTGGCTGGTGCAAAGGTTGCAGCAGCTAGAAAGATTGGGCACGAGAGTTGGTCCTGGACCCGACCTGAATATAACTAAAAAAGGCCTTCTGCGTAGTACATGGTAAGGTACATGGCTCACATGCTAAGGCAGTAGCTGCTCGCTTACTTTCACATTCACTCCCAAGCTCTCATGCAATCATCTATCAATCTGGACGGCTCAGATCCTAACCAAACAGCCGATCGATCCCTCACTCTCTGTGTCCCGACCAACCCAGTACACTACAGTATTAATATCAGCTTCTAGTTGTGGAGAAGAGGGAACAGCCCAGAAATAATTGTCCCAATTTCACGTGGTTTTCCAAAACCGGGTCATAATAACCATATTGGAATTTGAGTTTTGTCTCTTCCACTCGACTACTGCCTCTTCTCAGTTCTCATCTCACCTCACTACCGACTCTACTTAACTCCACCCTCCATCTACTCTCTTCTTCCTCCTGTCTTGCTGCTTGCTTTTTCTTTTCTGCAGTAGTAATAGTCAGATAAGAAGAGAGTTAATAATTTCGGAGTTCGTACTCTTCTCTCATGGGTCATAACAAGCAGCTGGGACAGTATATGTGTCACTGTCTAAGCATTTATTGTATCGCAGTCAAGTGAGTCCTACAAAACATAACCCAGAAGGGTGAAAAAGATCACGATCTTTTGTGTGCTGCATCATCAGCTCAGCTGGTATCAGGGTACGGTAGTAAAATCAAGTTCATAAGGAAAAGTTTATATTATATAAGGTTGAGAGAGAGGAGGTGGGTACTGAGTAGAGTGAGTGGGTCAGGTAGTGGGAACGGGATCTGATCTTCACACATGGGCGTCTCACAGGCATATCTACCGTACATTGAAAACATCTACCGCGAATAATAATTTATAAGTACGATAGATGTTTCCAATGCATGCATGGTGAGATGAGGTCGGTGTGAGACGCCCGAGTGAGGAGCAAATCCGGTCTCCAGGTGGTCACCATCACCCGCATCAATATCCAATCCACAAGCTAAAGTGACAGTACTTGGGTACAACCAAAAACCAGAACAAAACAGCAACAGTTCGACACGTTTGCACGAATGATGCTGGGGCTGTTTCTCTTTTTGGGTGTACCGTGGTGGACACGTGGAATAAAAAGGACGGAAGGAAGCTGAAGTGACATCGGGGCCGTACGTGTGGGATCTGGACCCGACCCAGAGAGGGTGGTTCATACTTCAAATCGTGATTTTTGCTAAAAGAGTGTGTGGTGGGTGGTGGGGGCTACGGATATCCCTGCGGTCTTCTCTCGCTGCAGTGGTGATGATGATGCTGCTCATTATTGAGTGATATTATCTCTCTTTCAATCAGTCCGTATACTTTTGCTTTCGCCAGAGAACACAAGATACAGTGGACGGGGTGCAAGAGGAAGAAGAAAAGGAGGCTGCTCTTCTCTGCATCTTCATGTTCATGTTCATCATCGACTCTCTCTCTCTCTAGTCGGAGGGTCCCGCCCATGTTAATGGGCATTTACTTTCACTGTCATTTTTCTTCTCGGCGACAATGCACGTTCGCCTTCTGCCTTCTGCACATGAGCACTAATCAACTGTTACAGAACGCAAATTTAATGCCTGTGGAGGTTTATTTACACCTCTCTGGGCCCCCTCTATAGCTCTAGCTGCTTACAACCTCTGCAGGCAGCTAAGTCTGTATGAACTAGCTTTTCCCTACCCAAAAGAGAGAAAATGAAATCTGAATATAGAAAGCAAGCCGAAAGCAATGCATTTTGTTTGTTTCTCCACTTTCGCTTGGCTAGCTTCTCAGAGAACCTCAAGAAATCAGAGTTCAACCGGGGCAGGAGAGAACGACAAAGACTAAAGTAAGGCATTCAAGAAGAAATCAGAGTTCAAGTGCAAAGCCCAGATCCCTTTCTGGATGTAAGAGAGTCATTTAGCAGTTTCAGGCTTTGTAGGGACCTTTTTATCCAATAATTACAGTTACAGCGACTCCTCTCTCTCTCTCTCTCTCTTCTCTAAAGAAGCAAAATAGGAATGGTCCTCCCCATTTGCACAGGGATACTCATAATTCTTCCAGGAAAGGAAACTATTTAAACACCGACCTATATTCCCAGAATGGGAAGGGCCGGACAATCCCATTTCAAAATTAGAGCTTCCATACATCCATACATACATACCATCCGCCACATTCCTCACTCTTATTATTCTGGTCATATTAGAAACCAAATTTAATAATGGCAACATATAATACTATATAGGGAACCAGAATAAAGACAACTACATTCCTTAAAAAGCCTTCATTTTTAAGCACAGAAAATACAAAAGGTGAAAGAAAAGGAAAACAGTATACTAGATACAGTTCCCACACCACATCAAACCCTAGACCCTCACATAAGGCCAACTTTGAAATATATATATATATAAAAAACCTAGTATATCATCAGCAGATAGGATAACATTAAAGAAAGACCTTTGCCTAGACCTAGAAGTTGACAACATTAATTCCTCGGATCAGCCACAGCAGAGAGTGGGTTTTTCATCTCACAGGACAGCTTCAGCACCTCGCTCAAGTCAACCGGGTTCTCCGGGTCCACCACCCACTTGAAATGGTGCACCAACTTGGCCACCCACAGGCTCACAGTCACCAGGCCTAGGTTCTTCCCTGGGCACACCCTACGCCCACCCCCAAACGGTGCAAGCCTCATGTCATTGCCTCGGACATCCAAGTTTATGCCACCCTCGCTCTCCATGAACCTCTCTGGCTTGAACACCAGCGGCTCCTCCCACACTTTGGAGTCATGAGTGATGGCCCACATGTTCACCATGGCAGTGGTGTTGGCTGGGATCAGCATTCCATTGCTCATCTGCACGTCCGACGTGGACAACCTGGCCCAAGAGAGCAACGGGCCTGGTGGGTGAATGCGAAGGCTCTCCTTCACCACTGCTTGAAGGTAGGGCAGGTTTGCCACGTCTGCATCTGTGACGCTTTTGTCACCTACGACACGGTCGAGTTCGCTTTGAAGTTTGGCTTGGACACTCGGGTTCAGAACCAACTCGGCCATGACCCACTCAGTCAGAAGAGCAGTCGTGTCAGTGCCTCGGAAGATCATTTCCTGCATAGTCATGAGGCATGAAGCGTGAAGCGTGAACTACACATATATTCAGAATAAAAAAAAAGCAATTAGTTTCCAAGGAAGAGCGACGAACCCATAGAACGGCAACCATGTCATCCTCTTCGAGCTTCTCTTCGCCATCAAGAGAGAGCAGGACATTGACGAAATCGGCATTGTCGGATGCCTTACCAGACCCACGGAGTCGGTGCTCCTCGATGATCCCACGAACGAGTTTCCTCACTCGAGGAACAAGTGCAGAGCATCGCTCGTTAATGTGGAAAGGGTCGTAGAAGTAGCTCAGCCATGGCAGATAGTCAGACCAGTTAAAAGCACCCAAGAGCTCGAACCCTTCCTTGACCATCTCACGGAGCTCACTCATCTCTTGGCTATCTTGCTCCACGTCGTAACGTTTCCCAAACACGCTTCCCATTATGTTGTTCAGCGCTGCAGACTGAAGATGCTTCCGCAAGGCCACGGACCCACGTACAGACTGCTCCTTGGCTATGCCGTTCAACATAGCAGAGCAGTCCGCCTGACGCCCTGGCTCGTGGGCCGCAATGCGCTTGGGGGAGAAGAGGTGCGACGAGGCAATTCTCCTAAGAAGCCTCCAGTAAGTGCCGTTAGGAGCGAAACCTATGGCTCGACTGAACATTAGCTTCTTAGCAGACTGCTTAAGGGGACGGTCAGCGAAGAACGGGGAGGTCAAGATCTCCCGTGCTGTGTGTGGATCGGAGGCAACGACTACGGGAGCGGAACCCAGACTAAAGGCCATGAGTTGGGTAGCGCCAAGGCTCGAAGCCATGGAAGCTAGAGTACGATGAGCCAGGCCACGGCTTAAGCTGAAGAGGCTACCGAAGACGGGAAGGCCTCGTGCTCCAGGGATTGGAACACGTCCCTTTCGATGCCGCCCGTTCTTCCAGGCAACACCGCCAACGGTGAAAGCCCAGGTGACAAGCCCAACAGACACGAAAGCAAGGATGAGAGAAATCAAGACCCACCCATCAAACAGGTTTTGAGTTCCAAGAAAAGCTGGCAAAGTGAACACCCACCAGCTATCCTTAGAGACCAAACAAAACTCCATTGGAGATAGAAGAATGGCAAAAGAGAAGCAATAGAGCGAAGGGGATGGTTTTTGAGGGAGCTGGACAATGAATGCTAAGTGAGACAGAAGGAGAGAAGAGTGAGAGTGTATGTGAGGAGACGCACGGTGGCAGTGATCCGAACTCAGAAGTGGTGAAGACAGACGAAGGGGATGGTTGTTTAAATAGGCGGAGGGAAGGGGTATTCATATTAGAAGAGAAGGATTTTCTAGAAAATCTATATAAAAAAGAGGGGGAGGCGAGGGCCCTCTCACCACAGGGTATGCTTCGTAACGGTTGCATACTAACTTTAAGTAATCTCTAAGAGATTGATTCTACCTCCTATTAGTAACGGTAGAATATCTCTTTTAATTCTAAGGGGTCAGTTTTTCAATTTCGTTATTCTCTTACTGAGTTTAAAGTACGCCCATTCACCGTTACGGAAGTTAGGCTCTTTCCTATTAACATCAGATCATTCACTCAAGTCATCTATCTCAACTCACGTTATATTTTTCTCTCAAACTATTTTTCGGCTTCTCCCAAATCATTTTTATTTTTCTGAGTTCTTGTTTGTTTTTTTAGATTGGGCTTACGTTTCTTGGAAGCGTGAAGATCATTTTCTGAACTTAGGCATGGTTTTAAAAAATGATTCGGAAATGGAACCATGGCCACCTGTTTTCAGGTTGACGGTTCGACCATACGGTTTGAATGAATGTCCCGTTTTGACAAAAAATTAAAAATAAAAAACGGCTAAAAACCGTTGAATGAGTCAACAGTTTGATCACCCGGGTCAATGGGTCGTTGACTGATTCAACATTTTTTAGCCAGGGACCGGGTTTGGAGTAAAACAGAATTGGTTGCTTGGATGATTCTCAGGCCGAACGGTCCGACCGTCCAAGTCAACGGGGGTTTGAAAATCATGAACTTAGGTATATTTTTAATTTTACGTTTCTGGGCTTTTGTCAATGCATTTCTAATTTTTTGAGTTTTTTTCCAGACCCAAATTTTCCCATTACTTGCAGGCTTTTATAATTTTTGGGCCTCTGTCAACATCTTTTTTATATTTTTTGGGTTTTTTTGGTAAACACGTTCTTAATATTCGATCAATACATTTCTAATTCGCTTAAATAGCCAGTAATTTTCTCCCATTACTTGCAAGTTGTTGGGTTTATGTTTCTTGGAATTTACTCAAGAAGTATACTCTACCCTGATTAAAGAATAAACTAGCAATTCCAAGTACTTTTTTAAACTCCATTTAAAACTTTTCTAGATCTTTTTTCACACCCGGTTTTTGTGTGCATCTATACTTTTGAAGTGGTTTTTTAGCATTTTAACATTTTCTTTGAATACGTGTTGAGAAAAGTATTTTGTATGCATCTATACTTTTCTAAACTCCATTTTAGCATTTTAGACTATCTTACCACTTTTCAAAACTTCGAACCAAAGACCTTCTATTTTGGTTCTCACAACCAATGAAAGTGGTTTTCTGTATGTCTTTCGAAGCTAAAAGGAACCATGAGACATCAAAGAGCAACATGTTCCTACAAACTCAGTGAACTAATATAAAGAAATCATTGCTTCTTTGTTGTTCATTCTGTAGTATAAGCATCTATGGTCAATTTGTTGCTTTTATCTATGACTTTACTTTCCCACTATTAATTTTCTTGATCATGTAGGTAAGATTTTAGTAATTCTCTTTGGATTATATTTACTTGACAGAATCTTGCCTTTTACATGCAAATGTTCTGATCCAAGATATTTAGAAATACCAAATTTTGGAACACCCAAAGTCACTAGTTTTGATATGATATCATGTTTGCATATTTAAGGATTTGTGCCCCAACTACCTTTGAATGTGTGTCATATTCATTTATAGGTTTTTCATTGGTATCCATGTATGGTGTGCTTACTTGATGTAAAGACCTAAGAACAAAACTTCCTTGTTATTTACCTAATTGGCATCTTATGGTAGAAAAGAAAATAAAAGAAAATAGCACTCAATTTAGGTACATTGAAAAATTATTCTATAATCCCTAGCAGTTTTTTCCTTATGATCATAATCTACAGACACAATAATTTACACTATGAAAACCTTTATTACTTATATGTAATTGAAAGCATTTGGGTGGGGGTGGAGTCTACTGGCCTAGACTAGGGCTTCATCTATCCACTTAGGCTCCGTTTGGTATATGGGATGGGGTTGAGAAAAAGGAAATATTCTAAAAATATTCCCTTTTCTCTCATTTGGTTTGAGAGAAATAGAGGAATGGGATGAGAAAGAGGTGGGATGAGAGATCCCAAAAACGTGGAATTGGGGTCACACCAAAACAGTGCGACCCTAGTGGAAAAACTGAGAAACCACTGTTCATTGCCTTCCAGCGACGAAGACGAATGACGGTGAACAGTGATAACGACGAACAACGACGAACAGTGCGACCCAATCTATTCTCCATTGTTTTCTTCATCAGATACTGACAAGGAACCACTGTTCATTGCCTTCCCTGTTTGAATAGAGGAGGTGACAATGGCAAGAGAACTAGGCAGCGGGAAGGAACGACGAACCAGGCAGTGGAGATCTGAAGAGGCGGCGGTGGCAAGAGAACCAGGCAGCAGGAAGGAACGATGAACCAGGTAGTGGAGATCTGAAAAGGCAGCGGTGGCAAAAGAACCAGGCAATGACGATCCGCTACCCTGCTACCATCGAGCTGTTGCGGCTCGGTTTAAGAATGCGAACCCACAGAATAAGGAGTGTTCTGATCATTTACCGGCAGAACCACACTGGAATACCCCTCGCCTTCATTGGTCTCTGATGGACCAATCCCCGCAGATAGCGATGTTTCCATTGACTGGTCCTTCTTCGACATGTTCCCAGTGGGATCTGAAGATAGTGTGTTGGATTTTGAAATTTTTTCTGGGTTTGATGATTATTCGGCCGATTATTTTCCTTCGTACTGGATTCCTTGGATGAAGGAACAACGAACTAGGCAGCAGCGTGACAGTGTGCATAATTTCCATATTATTTGTATTTTTTCTTATTTAATTAGTAAATTAATTAATGGATTTTATTGTGTTTTATTTAGAAATTCACAATTTGGGAAAGAAAGCCGAAAGAAGCTTCCAGCATAGCCCCAACACGATGGGAGAAGACCAGCACGATTTCAGCATGCAAGAAGTGGGTCCCATCAATCCTAGTAGGATTCGGCTGAGTTGGAGGCGTGAGTCACTAAGAGTTCTTGAAAGAGTTTCTATTTCTTGTTGTACTTCTAAAAAGAAAGAAAGTCAAAGTCTATCTTAGTTAGGATTTCTAATTAGAAAGATAAGGATAATATTAGATCTGAATTAAGCCTTATCCCATTATGAAATTAGACTTTCTATTTTTGAGAAAGAATTCCTAAGGGGTGTTGGAAACAGCCCCTCCCCCTAAGGCTATATAAAGGGGGTTCGACTAGCACTCAAAGCACTCACTGAAGGAGGGAAGAAGAGAAGGTAAGAAGCAGATTTCGTCCTCCATATCTGGAAGCTGCGATCTCTCCATCATGTTCGATTAGTTTCTATTTTCTGGTTGAAGGTTAAGGGAGTCTTGGTTCTGCAAAGTTGTGAGATCTAATTTATTTTAATTCAGTTCATTGTTTAGGAGTTTTTATATGTTTTCTGCGATTTCCTGCTTAAGATTATTTTATTGATTGAGCAACAGGATCCATTGTTCAATCGATAAAATAACCTATTGCCGATTGGATCATCAAATTCGTATATGTTTGTTAGATTTAATCTTTGTGGAAAATAACATAAACCGATTATGGACAAGTTTTCGGTTTATGTTATGAAAATATATAATCTGGTTTAAACGAACCGAGCTTGTGTGTTCACTGACCAGAATTGGGTCTCTCAATTTCTTAATGTTGTTAATAGATTAAACCCTAAGAGCTTGTTTAGAGCTATCTATTAATAAGAGAAGCAATCAAAGAGCTTGTTTTGGTTGCCGAAAATACAAAGAGAGATTGGTTACTAGAGCTTGTTAGTAGCTATAACCAATTTACTCATAAGCATTTGAACTCATCCTTGCATCGATGATCAATTGAAAGAATCAAGGCTGACTTATCCCTTCAACCGGATGTTGCCTTCTATCGAATAAACCTTTATTTTATTTTATTTTCCTTATCTTTATAACAACCCTCTACTTCATTTTCTTGGATATAAATCAATCCAATCCTTGTGGAGACAACCTTGCTCATCACTATATACAAAAATATTTATTTCGAGCAGGATTTTTATTTTTGGTTGGATTCAACACCCACCAAATTTTGGCGCCATTGCCGGGGATTGGTGTCCTAAATATGATTTATTTCCTTTTGCTTGATTTATGCCTCGTTCTTCTCGTGTTGGTGAACTCCAATACAATCCTGAGATCGAAAACACAGTTTGCTGGTTGAGGAAAGAAGCTAAGCAACATCGCAACCAATCGACATCACTCCCATCTCCCGGGGTGAAGTTGGCAATAGACCTCGTCGAGTCATTTGACAATTCTGAAGAAGAAGTCATGGCCAACATCGACGAAAGAACTCTTAGAGAGCTAGTTGCACCGTATCTGAATCAACAACCACTCTGCATCGAATATATAGATCTAACGGTACCTTTTGATCTGAAATCCAGTCTTATCCACTTACTTCCTACTTTCCGTGGACTTTCAGGTGAAGATCCCCATAAACACTTAAAAGAATTTCATGTAGTCTTCTTGAGCATGATACCTCAAGGTGTTACCGAAGAGCAGATCAAGTTGCGTGCCTTTCCTTTCTCACTAGCTGACAAAGCTAAGGATTGGCTTTTCTACGCACCCTCCGGTTCTATCACTACATGGAATGAGATGAAGAAGCTGTTTCTTGAAAAGTTCTTCCCTGCATCACGAGCTGCTAATATCAGGAAGGAAATCTGTGGGATAAAACAGTTCAATGGAGAGACTCTCTATGAGTATTGGGAGAGATTCAAGCAACTATGTGCAAGCTATCCTCAACATCAGATTCCGGATCAACTCCTTATCCAATACTTTTATGAAGGATTCTTGCCAATGGATAGGAGTATGATCAATGCTGCAAGCGGAGGAGTGTTAGTGAATAAAACTCCTACTCAAGCAAGGGAACTAATTGCAAACATGGCCGCCAATGCACAACAGTTCGGCAATAGACAAGAGTTCATCCCGAGGAGAGTCAATGAGGTAAGTACTTCCTCCATTGATCAACGATTAGATACTCTCACCTCTCTTGTGGAAAATTTGGTGGTAGGTCATGTACAACAAGTAAAGACTTGTGGCATTTGTTCCACTACGGGTCATCCAACTGACATGTGTCCTACACTTCAAGATGAACCCTATGAACAAGCCAATGCTGTTGGAGGATTCCCACAAAGGAGATATGATCCCTATTTAAATACTTATAATGTAGAATGGAGGGATCATCCTAATCTCAACTATGGAGCCAAGCCCTTCGGTTTCCAACAATATCAAGCTAGACAACCAGCTCCGCAACATTCATCTTCCAAACCAGGTATGTCTTTAGATGAAATTGTTAAGGCACTTGCAACTAACACCCAACAATTTCAACAGGAGACGAGAACCAGCATCCAAAACCTGGAGAATCAAGTGAGCCAATTGGCAACTGCTGTGAGTCGATTGGAATCTCAAGGATCAAGAAAACTACCCTCACAGACCATAGTCAACCCTAAGCAAAATGCTAGTACTTTAAGAAACGGAAAGGAGCTCAACACCGATTAAATCCTCCTGACCCACCTTCCGCTGCATCAGCTCACTACTAGAATTTTCTTTTAATACATTGAGGACAATGTATGAATTAAGTGTGGGGGGGAGTATAGGATTTTAGATGAGTAGTGTTTATTTCAGTTCATTAATTCAGTTCAAAAAAAAAAAAAAAACTCAACTCTCTTGAAATCAATTGAAGCAATATTCTGGAAAAATTCTTGTGAACCTAGTAATGAGGTGCGATGATGGAATCCATGACTTATCTAAAGCCATTTCCTTTTGAGCTAGTCCTAAATTCAGGTTTAGGTAAATAGGGTAAATATTTTTACCATACAATTGAGGTAGCCTAGTAGGATGGAGCATAAAATGCACATACTAGCCAGCCATTCAAAAGTAGGATGGAGCATAAAATGCACCTACTATTCAAGCAATTCTAAAAGTAGGATGGAGCATAAAATGCACCTACTGGCCAAGTAATCCTAAAAGTGAGATGGAGCATAAAATGCACTCACTTCCACCAAGAAAAGAAAAAAGAGAGTAAAGATAAAAATATTTTCCCTAGTTTACTACCTGGTTTGTAGTAGCAAAAATTGAATTGGTTGATAGATGGGGCATGTATGACTTGGTTGTGTTGATTTAACAGTTTGCAATAGTTAACCTAGAATATTTGTGGAAAAAGAAGAAGGAAAGTTGTGTTTAAAATTTGGTAGGATAGTTTGTTTATTTTTGCTTAAATTTTGTCTTGCCCGAGGATGGGCAAGGTCTAAATGTGAGGGGGTTTGATAGTGTGCATAATTTCCATATTATATGTATTTCTTCTTATTTAATTAGTAAATTAATTAATGGATTTTATTGTGTTTTATTTAGAAAATCACAATTTGGGAAAGAAAGCTAAAAGAAGCTTGCAGCATAGCCCTAGCACGATGGGAGAAGACCAGCACAATTTCAGCATGCAAGAAGTTGGTCCCATCAATCCTAGTAGGATTTGGCTGAGTTGGAGGCGTGAGTCACCAAGAGTTCTTGATAGAGTTTCTATTTCTTGTTGTACTTCTAAAAAGAAAGAAAGTCAAAGTCTATCTTAGTTAGGATTTCTAATTAGAAAGATAAGGGTAAGATTAGATCTGAATTAAGCCTTATCCCATTAGGAAATTAGACTTTCTATTTTTGAGAAAGAACTCCTAAGGGGTGTTGGAAACAACTCCTCCCCCTAAGGCTATATAAAGGGGGTTCGACTCACACTCAAGGCACTCACTGAAGGAGGGAAGAAGAGAAGGAAAGAAGCAGATTTCGTCCTCCTCGTCTAGAAGCTGCGATCTCTCCATCATGTTTGATTAGTTTCTATTTTCTGGTTGAAGGTTAAGGGAGTCTTGGTTCTGCAAAATTGTGAGATCTAATTTATTTTAATTCAGTTCATTGTTTATGAGTATTTATATGTTTTCTGCGATTTCCTGCTTAAGATTATTTTATTGATTGAGCAACAGGATCCATTGTTCAATTGATAAAATAACCTATAGCCGATTAGATCATCAAATTCGTATATATTTGTTAGATTTAATCTTTGTGGCAAATAACATAAACCGATTATGGACAAGTTTTTGGTTTATGTTACGAAAATATATAATCTGGTTTAAACGAACCGAGCTTGTGTGTTCACTGACCAGAATTGGGTCTCTCAATTTCTTAATGCCGTTAATAGATTAAACCCTAAGAGCTTGTTTAGGGTTGTCTATTAATAAGAGAAGCAATCAAAGAGCTTGTTTTGGTTGCCGAAAATACAAAGAGAGATTGGTTACTAGAGCTTGTTATTAGCTATAACCAATTTACTCATGAGCATTTGAACTCATCCTTGCATCGATGATCAATTGAAAGAATCAAGGCTGACTTTTCCCTTCAACCGGATGCTACCTACTATCGAATAAACCTTTATTTTATTTTATTTTCCTTATCTTTATAACAACCCTCTACTTCATTTTCTTGGAGATAAATCAACCCAATCCCTGTGGAGACGACCTTGCTCATCACTATATACAAAAATATTTAATTCGAGCAGGATTTTTATTTTTGGTTGGATTCGACACCCACCGCAGCGATCTGAAGAGGCGGCGACAGAGGAGGTGGTGGTGGCAAGAGAACCAGGCAACAACAATATGCTACCCTACTACCATCAATCTACTACCTTCGATGTTCTCTGTCTCTCCCTCCATCTTCCTCTTTTCTCTTTTCCCTCACCTTCTTCTTCTTCCTGTTCTTCTCGTCTTCCTTCCTCACCTTCTTCTTCTTCTTCCGGCAAAGAACCAGATACTGACGTATTTGAAGGGATGAGAGATCCATCCTATGGACGCCCAAAGATT